AAAATGTCAACATTGAACTGCACAAAACTTCTAAAGATATCAAAGTTCATTTGACACCAAAATCCCACGTTTGAGACTCGGCTAGATTAGAATATCAGAGAGTGAGAACTCACTTTTAGTTTTAGGTGGTTATTTTTCATTAAACATCAAGAAGATTTCAGCTATACAGAAAAATTGCTTTTATTCCCGTTTCAGTTAAATTTGGAGTAGCTTAACGGGTACGTAGTTTTTCTTGAGAATTTTTTGCCAACCCATGAATAGAATTTGTCCAGATGCATTTGAAATACATATTTTTTCAACTGCAACTAAAGTAGAGAAAACTTTGAACGATAAGCGAAAAAAAATCAGTTATGACAGCATACAGTTCCGCAAAAAAGACAGAATTACACATTGATTTTGATTTTATTAATTTACATAGAGTTTCGTTTAGGGGTAATGTTTCGCGAGAAATACCAGAGCTTTCTTCGGAAGCAACATGACTTACTTCGCCCTCTTGCGACAAAACTGGAGCAATATGCAATAGTGTCCTCATGTGTGACTCTGCTCATCATTCTTCTCATTGGAGTTGCTGGAGTGAAGACCAGTCTGAGTGTGAACTTTGACCTCCCGGATGTGACCTCGCCTGTTGACACTGTGTACTACCAAAGGTAAGCTAAAAGCCTATAACATATAATTTTTCCAGGCTATCCTGGATCTAGGCTCTCACGAGAGATACGTTGTGGTTTCAATAACACAACGTCTTCTAACCGAAAAAGTTTGTGCCACTTTATACAACCATTAAGAAACTTGGGCTACCACTTGCTCTTTTGCATAATCAAAACACAAATATCATCAAAAAGATGCCAAATAAAAAAATAACAATTTTATTATTTATTTGAAAATCACAACGGCGAACACATGATATACTCTCAAGCAGCCAAAAGTCTGTACAATTTACTTTCTGCGGTAAGCTGTCTTAGTAAATTCAAGTTTTCTTGGGTCAAAGTGGGGACAAATTCTTTCATCAAATTTTCTTTTGGTTATTGTTCCGACAATTGAAAATGAGGAGAAATTTTGTATTCGGGTGTTTAAGTGTTTTTTTTCCACTCAAATTCATGCACCACAAAAAATCATCGGAAAGGGTTGAGTGATATATCATTTGAAATCCCTTTCAGTCGTGATTCGAACGACATCAAAAATATTCCAAAATATTTTTCTGGTGACGAGAAAAGCCGGTAAGACTTTTGTTTTGATTTGTTGTCTAATTTCAATGCCGAGCAGTTTTGTAATAGCCCACACCGATTGCCCAACCGCTTCAAGAAGCTTACAAGTTTTTCTAAAGTTAACTCATTTCCTGTTTAGTGCAGTTGCTACGTGTTAAGTTTCATAAAATGTTACTTTTCACAATAAAATTTGTATTTACATTTTGTCTCTACTTTTTCAATTCATCTCAGTTTAACAATTCAATTCGCAGGAGGAGGGGAGGTTAGCATTGAATGGTGTTAACCGGTGGGCGAATTATTTGAACCCTCCTCAGTTCCCCCCCCCCCCCCCTCCAGTTTACTTTGCCCCCTCCCCCCAGTTTACTTTACGCCCCCATTCCATTTTACTTTACCCCAACTACACGTTTACCACCCCTTCCTGCCAGTTTACCACGACCATGTTTGTGGTTGAACATTGGAGGATTTCGTATTGGTAGACTTTGGGGTATGGGATTTAATAATTAACACCCCCGTCTACGCCCCATCTTAGTTTGTAGGAGATTGAAAACACTTGAGGGGGTGACGTTGAGACATGGCATTCAGTAAAAGACGTTGCATAGATTTTGCAATTTTCCCGCAAAATTTACAAAATTTCTGCAAAAAAAATCGAATTCAGTTCTGAAAATCATAATCGACTTTAATGGATTATAAAACATTATTTTTTTTTTGAAAATAATCGATTATAATGGCAGTATAATCAACTTCGTGGTCTTAACTTAATTTTTTTTAATGCATTATATTGGATAGTTTTTGTGTCGGGATTCCATCATAATCAATTATAATGGATTCTTGAGAAAAAATAATCCATTAAATTCCATTGAAGATGTAAAATTCAGAACACAAAGTCCATTATATTGTCATTATATTCAATTTCTTGAACAAAAAACCAATATTATCCATTATAATCGATTATAATCTATTATTTTTGGTAAGAAATTGATTACTTTTGCCAAAATAATCCAATATAATTGATTTTTTTTGAAATAAACTAGCATTATAATCCTTTATATTTGATAACAATCCATTATATTTTTAGAACCAAATTTGATTCGTTTTGCAAAATTTTTCTACGAAATTCTTCTACTAAATTCTATGTCTCAACGTCACGCCCTCAACTTTTTTTTGCTCCTCCCCATCTAAAAAGAGGGGGTAAACTGTTGTGGTGCGGGGTAAACGGGGGCTGTGGGAAACTGGGGGAGGGGTTGGGGTAAACGGGGGGGAGGTTGGGGATAGAATGGGGGGTCGGTTGGGGGTGAACTTGGGGGAGGGGGGGGGGGTGGATTGGGTAAAGAATGGGGGGCGGTTGGGTTGAACTGAGGTGTAAATTGGGGATGGGGTGTAAGCGGGGGGAGAAAGTTTGAGGTTAACTAGGGGGGGGGGGTGTAACCTGGGGGGGGGGGGATAAACTGGGGGGATAAATTAGGAGGGTGGTATCACGGTGTCAATCATAATCCCCCTCCGACAAAGCGTACCAAAAACTAATGTTCAACGATGTTCAACCATAATGGAAAGTGGCGAAATGTAACATTTTATAAAATGTGAAGGGTAGCAACTGCACTATATAGGAAATGAAACAATTTCGAAAAAAGTTGTCAAATTCATGATTAACTGCACAAAAAAATTCGTTATAATCAATTATATTCGATTATAATGGATTATTTTGGCATGAAAATTTTGAGATTATAATTCATTTTTAATTGATTATAATCATTTTTAATGGGTTAGATTGCCATGAAAAATATTAGGGTTACAATCCATTTTTAGTGGGTTATAATTGATTGTTTTGTAACTTTATGGATATGACCATATTATGTCAATATACTTTATTATGATCCATGGGCATTCGGTGCGGGAGGCCTATATTATTTAGTTCTTGCAATAAAGTTACAAAATTTAGTTTAAATCAAATAAAAAATTTAATCGAAAATTGATTTAGCGCTTTAAAAAACGAATCAAAGGAAATTCGAAAAAGTTTCGGAATTTTGTTTATAAATTTTTAGATTTATAAAAAACATGATAGTTATTATTTTTTAAAAAACCGTTGCCAAAAACCAAACTAGTTATTACCATTTATGGCTTTCTTTGTAAAAGTGTGCAAAATTTTGCGCTCAAGTAGAATCACTGCCACAATTGCGTCTGTGAACTATAGTCACTTCAGGAAAAATGTTTGCCGCAAACCAAAAAACTATATGGTACCTATATAGGATTCTAATATCTTAGGGTTTCCGAGATAACAAACAGCAAAAATTTGGGCTTTTACAAAAAAAATCACGCAGTATATGGAAATTAAATCAACGTTTTTCTTAAATCCAATTCAATTCCTGTGAAAAAGTTTTCTGGTCATTTTCAATATTAACTTAAAACGAGTAAAAATAACTTTAATGATATAATAAATTTTGAGTGAAACTGTTGAATAAAAAAAATGTTTAATCTAATTTGCATAATTGTATGAAAATTGAGTGAAAACCTATTTGAATCGATTTATCGTGTACATCGAAAAAGTGTTCGAAAATTCAATTTGTAACTGTAGCAAGACATTGAATATAAGTTCATTGGAGTCAACTTGATTTCTGTAGCTTCTTTTTGGTAGCCAGCTTAATTGATTTAGAATCATCTGATATCAATATTTTAAAGTCGTTTTCGTTTTCTCTCCAAAAATCATTTGAAAACCTATTTTGTCAGTACGGAGATATATCGATCTAGTTTTGTACAGAAAAATCTTCCTTAATACAGTTTCATAAAAATTTACTCAGATTGTAAATTTTCAAACATTTTTTGAAATTAAGTTTTGTGTGAGTAGATGTCAGCTTTTGAAATTTTTGTTTGGTTCTCGTATGACAAAATCTGACTTTTTATCAGTCAAATAAACCGATTAGGACTGGCAACAAAGTTTTGATTAACTCAATAAGTTTCCTCATCTGTACTGAGATAAATTCAATTGCTTGCTTTGAGTTAGTTGCAATCATATGTTGGTATCATAGGCTGGTATGATTTAACAACGATCTGAACAACAGAAAAACTTTTGACATAAAACAATATTTACAATTCGAATTCACATTCATAGGATATGGTCTAATTTTAAAGCTAAGGAAATCAACTTAAATGGATTCTGAACTAAAAATTTGCCATTCTTGTTTCTTGAATGCTTTAGAATGGATATATTTTAGATCTACTTAAATCAATTCAAACCCAATTCAAAAATTACCTTCACTTTTAAAAGCTGAAAAAGTCGATCTCAAAAACTATTAACTTTAGAAACTTTTTTCTACTTGTTTTATTTGCCGCGGGAATTTTTAAAAACTGAAGATTTTTGGCAAACCAATCTTCTGAATTGTCTGTAAATTATTGCAAAATGATTTTTTTGTACAATTTCACACAATTTTTTTTCTTCTCATCCGTACGGGTTTGCAATAATCGGAGGATCCAACAGAGCCATTGAAGACCATCATGGCCGCAATCATGGTCACAAGACCATCATGATCACAGAGAACTAACTGCAAACCGCAACTAATGGCCAATTGGCTCAATTCAATCAAAAACAGCCCTTATGTTTGTTTGCTTTTGTTTGTCGTTGTATTTTTTGCGATTGGCACAGATTTCCTCCTACTACAGATTCTGTCCTATTTGTTTAATTAACAGATTTCGTCCCATAAAGAGATCATCCCATATCCAACATCCTATCATCCCATATTCAATTTTGTTGGACGAAATTTGGGTACGCTTTGAAATGGGACGAAATCTGTTGAAAATAAAATGGGACGAGATCTGTCATGGGACGAAATCTGTCACAGCCATTTCTTGCAGACCGATTACAACCTTGAATCTTAACAAAAAGTTTTGGGGACCGATATTCCCACGTGGACGTGAAGTATTAAAGTAGGCACATGGGTTGTCTCTTTCGGTTTCGTACACAGGGAAGTCTGAAACGCTGTCCCTTGGCAGTTCCACTGAAGTCGTCAAGGCCTGTGTCTGTGTTTTCTGCGGTGGAAAGATCTCTGGTTTCGAAATTGGTCCATTCTTATGGGCTGATCCGGAGGTGCTATGAATGTTTGCTGGAGTCGATGGTGCCGTAATTATTGACATGGGGCAGGGATTCGTGTCATGGTGTGATACTCTTTCCTCTTCACCTAAGTCTAATAATTCCACTTTAATATTAGTGTTTGAATTTTCATCCTTTAGATTGTTTCCCTTCTTGCTGTCCGGTGTGTTCCATGTTGTTAATGAAAAGTTCTCTACCAACGTTTCTACAAGGAAATCTTTCAATAGTCCACTCCCAATCGCTCAATTCCGAAAGCTAAAAAATAAGAAAAAGGATTCATCCTCACTCAGATAACCTTTAGGCGAGGTCTTGGTCTTCCGTTTTCATCGATTTCTGCTTTGGGCCTTCTTTCTATTTTGTCTCGGTT